CTCAGTTGCTCAACATCCCTCTTGAAATTTTAGTACCCAAATCAAAGTGTTTGGGGTTTAGCATATCCTTGGGGCTCCATAAACTTGGGAAGAATTAATAAAGTAGTCTGCAAATATCATGATAATCCAGAACTACTCTCCCCTTTTCTCTACACACTATATTTTTATTGATAGCCTGGGCTTATATTAGCTCTTCCAAGAGATATTTCCTATTGGCTTGGGTATGCAGAGGTCTCCCCTGCGGGTCAGGCTGCAGGACCTGTTGACTGATACCCAGGTGCCTTGAGGGTTCTGACAAGGAACTAGGTAGCATAACAGAAGGGGCAAAATGAGAAAACAAATGCTCTAGTCACGCAACAAAAGCATCTCGTTAGCGCCAATTTCAAAAAGTCCTGCTTCCCTTAATAAATCTGCTCTGTGGATTATTAAGTGTCGTCATTAGTGCTGACCAACAGGTATTTCTGATTCTATTCCCAGATGCCTGGTAGAAAAGCGCTTCCCTGCCCCTTTGGCGTGAGGAGTGGTCACGTGACTTGTAGCCAATGAAATGTGAGTGAATGTGCCACCGCACAGTTCACCAAGTGTCCTTTCTCTTCCCTTTGGCAGTCATGGGAGCACAGAGGTGCAGGTCCTTCAGTAAGGTGACAGAGCTGAACCCCTCAGATGACCTGTGATGGACACGGAGTGAAAGTGAGAAATAAACCTTAACTGCTCTAAGTCATTGAGATTTTGTTTGTTGTTGTTGTTACCACAGCAGATCCTAGGCTATCCTGACTGATTCTGTATTACTGACAAGGAAACTAAAACACTCAAGAGTTCACGTCCTCTGGATCTGCCAGATCATAGCTTTCATTTTATTTCTCTTCTTCAAGTTTCTAATCTGTAGGATGGAAAAACACTTTTGGTGGGCATGTGCCTGGTACACCAAACAGCTCAGGTAAGCCCCACCTGCCAGTGGTCGGGAAGATGGGTTATCTGTTCACATCAGTAATGTTTTAAAGGAAGTCACCATGGAGAATTTTTTTCTTTCTACAGGAGAGAGGATCCCAAGATTACCTGACTAAAATCCAAAATTACCTGACTAAGATTGCCACTGCAGCCTGAAGAATGATGGGTTATCTGAAGGAGACTAAAGGATGAACAGAAGAATCCGGGAGTGGTTTAGGGGAGACAGGAACAGCAAGTTATCTAAGTCAGTGGTCTCAAGTATTTACCAGAATCAGAATCACCTGCAGGCTTGTTAAAACATAGTTTACAGGGATCCCACCTCCAAAACCTCTGATTCAGTAGATCTGGGGTGGGGTTTGAGAATCTCCAACAAGTTCCCAGGTGATGCTGGTTCAGATGGCTCTAGAAGGATTCACTCCAAAAAACCAGGGTGGAGGCTCTGATAAGAGGAGTCAACATGACCTTAACAGATCCTCTTTGGAAAAGGAAAAGAAAAGAGTCAGTTTTTCTTTTTCTACCAATATATTAATCTGACAGCTGATATAAAGGACACAAACGGTCACCTCAGTCTTTTTTTTTTTCTCACCACGTATCACACTACACAACAAAATTAAGCTCCTCCAAGGAAACAAAGCAGAAATCATATCCGTTAGCACAGTTTTTAAAAGGAATGGTTTCTGTGAAGGGAAATCATGCCTCACTCACCCTCCGGAGCTCCCCCAGGATTTACCTGGAGGTAAAGCCAAGTCTATTTCAGGAGGAAGCAATTTGGATAATTGGCTGCAATGTCCCCCTCCAACCTTATCTCCTTCACAGACCTCCACTACAAGTCAATCTTCTTGCCAAAGCTGGTCACACTTGACCCTCACACACAAGCATGCTTATCTTCCCTTATCTAAATCCTGTCCCTTCCTCCACGTTAGGGCCAGACACTTCAGGAAAATCTTCCCTCTCTTTAGTCACCATTACAGACAATCAATCACCAAATCCTGTCAATTTTAACTCCCAAGTAGCTCCAGAATCCACCTGGTGCTCTTCATGTTGCACTCTAACTCATCTCGTATGGAGTCCCCATGCTCCCCCCACTTGGTCTTTGAATAACCTTGACTGGACAGATCTCAACTTAAAACATCTTTTCCCAGTGTGGAAAGGCCTTCCACGATCCCCAAGGTCTAAGCCAGGTTATAACCCTCATTTATCAACTTCCATTGAACCCTGTGTTCCCTCTCTCTGGAACATTTATCACATTTGTGATCTCGTGTCAGTATCTTCTGTGCTCAACCATAAGCGCTTCACAGACAGGAACACATTCGTCCTGTTGGCTGCTGTCACTGCACAGTATGGCACAGTCCCTGATGTAGGCACCCACTAAGTATTCAATGAGTAAGTGCAGCAATCACCACCTAAGTCCATAGAAACCCTCCCTTCCTCTCAATGCCTAAAGCACATGCTGTTTGCTTCAAGGAAATGTCTGGCCATATAGTTGTACCCATCATCTGAGATAAGCAAGCACCCCTTATGACATCCAGAAAATGAGATCTAGAGGGAAAAAGTGACCCTTCAAAAGAAGGAATGTCTTTTCCTTGGAAATTGGATGGAACTGAGATTAGCTGTGGAGGTATTTTGGTAGGATAAAGAGGCCGCCTCCTCAGAAGTAGCCAGGGGATAAAGTCTTCTGTTAACAAGGAGGAAAAGGATGTGTGTGACAGAGGTGTTTAGTGATGGAAAATGTGCATTTCTCCAGAAGCTCTTATTAAGGCTGGTAACTTCTCAAGCTAAGTGTTCTGATGGATTCTACCAGACCTTTAATGATGACAGGCGCCCGTGTCTCTCGGATGCCTAAGGACTGGAGGCTGAACTCAATGACCTCCCTAAAGCCTCTGACCTTCAGGATTCTATAAACAAACTCATTCCAAGCTGGAATTCAGAGAATCCACATTCTGACTTTGTCTTTACACAGCAGTTCTTTTTTGATGTAGGAGATAAGATAATTTTTACCTTGTACCCACTCTTTCTCTAGTAGTATTAATGCTTTCAAAGGCAGACATCCCTTCTACCAGCTGTAAGCCCCACAGTCTGGCTGTCATGTCCTGTGGGCCACCAGCACCAAAATAACTGAGCAAACAGCTTCTGACTAGGGAAAGGCTTAGGCATGACCAAAGAGGTGAGGCTGGGGTGACACCCTGCTTTTCTGCTGCTAGCCAGGCAACTTGGGGCAAGTGACATGACTTTTTTGGGTCTTAGTATCTTTGCCTCTAAAATGGTGGTGATGGTCTACCTCTCAGGATTATTATATTAAATGAGATATGCACAGAAAATCCCCCGCACAGAGTAAGCATGCAGGGAATGCCAGTATGATTATCATTACAGATTTCTGGTTTTAAAATTTTTGTTGTATAATGATTCTAAGTTGAAAACACTGAGATGAAAAAACTGAGATGAAATAATATGTTTAGAATTAGCTTCAAAATAATCCAGGGGTGAGAGGGAGGATATAGACAAAATAAAATCAGCCATGTTTTAGAAACTGTTGAAGACAGACAATGAATATACCAGATTTATTATTGTATCTCTCTACTTTTGTATATATTTGAAGTTTTCTACCTTAATTTATAAGTGTAAGTACTATAAGAGGAAAACACTGTAAAAATATAAATACTGATAATGTAAGATTACATTTGAACATATCTAAGTGACAAAACACAAGAAAATTGAAGGGGAGAAAAAAATACCCTTGGGAATTCCCTCCAGGTCCAGCGGTAAGGACTCTGCATTTTAACTGCCAAGGGCTCCGGTTCAATCCCTTGTCAGGGAACTAAGATCCCACAAGCCGTGTGGTGTGGCCAAATATATATATGGGCATGTGGTGTGGCAAAATATATATATACATATATATGGGCTTGGGCTTCCCTCGTGGCTCAGAGATTAAAGTGTCTGCCTGCAATGCGGGATACCAAAACTGGGTTTGGTTCCTGGGTTGGGAAGATCCCCTGGAGAAGGAAATGGCACCCCACTCCATTATTCTTGCCTGGAGAATTCCATGGACGGAGGAGCCTGGTGGGCTACAGTCCACGGGGTTACAAAGAGTCGGACATGACTGTAACTACATATGGGCTTCCTGGGTGGCACTAAGGGTAAACAACCCGCCTGCCAAAGCAGGAGATGTAAGACACACAAGATCTATCCCTGGGTTGGGAAGATCCCCTGGAGGAGGGGGTGGCAACCCACTCCAGTATTCTTGCCTGGAGAATCCTATGGACAGAGGAGCTTGGCAGGATATATTCCACAGGGTTGCACAGTCAGATGTGACTAAAGTGACTTAGCATGCATATATATATATATGAAAACAAAAACCCTTAAAGCCAATGTCTCTATTAGTTTCTCAGACAGAACTGTTTTCTTCAAACAGAGCTGTCACAAATGATCAGAATGAAACACAGACACTTGCACATATTTCTCTGCCTTCATTTTTGGGAGAACACATCCCCAAAATGTGTGCATGGGCTATACATGCATTTTAGAGCAGACAAGCCCTGGGTGGTAGAACCTGCCTCTGAGCACTCAGAAGCCCTGCTGAATTGGGACTGAGGAGTGAGAAGTTCCTGTGTTAGGAAAAGCAAGCACAAAGGACTCAAAATGTTCAGGGACAAAGGGTGCCACCAGCCCTCCTCTCTTCTAAGCCCTGGCTTTGGGCTCCTATACGAGGCTTCCTTGGGAGACTATACTTACAGTACTTTCAACAACAGGAGAGAGGGTCCTCTCAGAGCATAACTAGTGTGTAAGATGATACTTGAGGGGAAGGGGAACTTTGAAGTGGCTCTGACAATACTCATCACAGCACACCCCCATATCATCTCCCCCCTTCCACATCTACCCGCTGAGAGAAGTCTAGAGATTGAAAAACAAAATTCTTGAGTTTCACCTTGAACTAAACAATCCACTCCAAGCCCCTATGTCTGAGAGAGAAAATAGCCCAACAAGCTTTGTTTTGAGCAAATGCCTTTAAATTCCCAAGCTGTGCCTGAAAAAGGAGAATACACAAATGTACTTACTCTTCTTCTTGAAGAATAAATTCACTATTTTCTGGAGAAAACTGCCCACTCACAGGATGCCTGAAGGCTGTGGTCTGCTGGTTATGGCTAAAAAGAAAGAAAGAGAGAGAATGAATGAGAAGTCATGTGAGTGGAAAGGCTCCCAGACACAACAACAGGTCAGTGATGTCTGAAGACCCCTGCTCATCGCAGACTCCTCCCAGGTGAGACCGCCGGCCTTGCCTTGGAGAGACACTCTGTAAAAACCCAGCTGCATTTAAAAACCAAAAACCTCCAGCTCAGATGCCAAAGCCCACTAAAGACATACGGGGGTTTCAATTCTAGGCAAGTCTTGTCCCCAAGACAATCCTGGATCTTAGAGAGACAGTCCATGAAGCACTTACTCCTACAAGCTGACTCCACTCCTACAAACTGACTCGCTCAGCGAAAAGTTACTTTAAGACGGCACGAGCTGAGAACAAGAATGAAGGAAAGCAGACGGCACTTTCAACAGCTTCCAAAACCCACGAACCAGGGCAAGAATTCTAAGAATTAACACCCACCCAGAAAAATCTATCTTCTTAAAATTCTTCTCCCTACTACAGAATGTCTTCACTTCAGTGATGGGATATAAATGTATGGGCATGTCTCTGCAACATGACCTGTACAATTTCAACACTGTGCAGTTTCTATCACCCTTTTGATGTGAGGAGGGATCAGCTTCCACGCCGAGTTGACAGACACAACCAGAGTGTGTAGGTGTTTTGTGTATTCATAAAGGCTGCCTGCTTCTTTGAAAAGAAGGGGGAGTTGGCTTTAGAGGCTGCTGTTCTGCTCCATGAATAAAATAATCTAACCTCTTTTTTTCTTAAAGAATATGATTTATGTTAAAATGTTTTTCTCAGCTGCAAAATCATAGTTATTTTAGACATTTTAGAAACTATAGAAAGGAAAAAAAAGTCATCTGTGATCTCACTATCCAGACATATACATCTGGGTATCTTCTCTTTCCTAGCTTTTCTTTTTTCCTTTAAATCATTTTATTTTCTTTAATGTGATTTTACTGTATTTAGAAATCTGTATCCTGCTTTCCTCACATCCAATTAACACAGAAAATTTCCTATATCATTAAGATGTCTTCATTTGAAATAGGTGATAGTCTTATCATGTAAGTGTAAAAATTTTTTTCATATAATTGTGCAAAAAAATGTTTACTGGCCATCTGTGTGCCAGGTACTGTCTTAGGTCTTAGAGATACAAAGTGAACAAAAAAGTCCTTACACTGTGATGCTTACCTTCTAGAAAGATTTACATTCTTCTAATGCTGGACATTTTAGGTGCTTTCCCTATCCCACTCCCCATTATTATAGTCAATATATCTTTGCATATATGAGCTTTATCTGCAATTCAAATTATTTCCTTGGGTTAAAGTCCCAGAAATAAAATTACTAAATCAAAGGGCATGGTCATTTTTTTAAGGCTCCTAATACAGACTGTTAAAATGCTTTTACTGTCAGAGTCAGTATATCATCTTAGTTCAATAGTGTTAAGATATCAGTCCCATCTCCAAATTGAGCCCTGACTCACTCCAGACATTAGTAGGTTTAAATGAGCATAGCATAAAGGTTAAAAGAGAAAAAAAAAAGTCTTTAAACCCAAGTCTGTCTTACTCTGCCTGGGGCCATCAGGGCATCCTGCGCTGGGGTGTCTGCTGGGGTGTCTGGGTAAGGCTGGCACTGAGGTCTGAGCAGCCGGAATCCTAATGAGCCAGATGTGAAGCAGGCAGAGCCATCAGGCCAGGCTGTTCCCTGGCCCTGCAACCGTACACTACCTCCTGGCACCCTCTCAACCCTCCCAACCGCCGCCAGCCTCCAAATTCTCAGCTCCTGGTTCCAGGCAAAGCCCTTGGAATCCCATGACCTCATCTGGCTGGCAGCAAGCTGTTCTTCTCAAAAAAAGCAGAGTTAAGACATGAGCATCTAAATAAGGGTGAGAAGCAAGCCCCCTTGACATCTATTTCAGAAATCTTTGTATTGCGTTCATGGGCTAGGCTTGATTTATACCAGTTTCTTTGAGTCATCTCCATTCACCCTAAAGAAGTCCCTAAACACAAGACATCTGGAAAACACCAGGGAATTTGAAAACACAAACTCTAACTTAAACCTGTCTCATTTCTTCCTGGAGTAAAAACACTGTTCTGCTCATAATGGGAATAACAATAATTCTTATCCACTATTACCTCTAAAAAAGTCTTTTCTTACATAACTTAGCTACTAGTACCATCAACTCCTGCTTTATGAATGAGGAAATGGCTCAGAGAAGTTAAGTGACTTGCTCAAGATAACTTCGTCAATAAGCAATAAGACTGGGACATGAATCCAGGTGTTCTATATCTAAACTTGATGTTCTTTACATAATAACCTGCTGTCCCCTTCCCTCAGAAGTCCACGGGGCTGGCAGCCTCCTAGGCATGATCAGAAGTCCCTAAAAACACAGCATGTAAAAAACAGCAGCATCTTCTGTTATTCCCTCTCCCTCTCCACCTCCTTCCTTCCCCTCAGCCCGGGGCCAAGCTTCTGAATGACAACACCTGTGTGGCACTCAGGCACCCCAAAGGCACCCCCAATCAGCCTTTGGTCCTATCACAAGGTCAGCCTGGCAAAGGGAGGCAAAGAGAATTTCTGGCAGAGGGAGGCAAAGAGCAAACCTTCTCTGTGTCTGGAGTGGCATTCAGCAAAGACTTCATGAACACTGGACAACTAGAATACCAGCTCCTAGCTAGGCTCCCCACGTTCAACGTGTACAAGCTTAAATAGGCCCAGAGTCTTGGGTAAACGAATCCTGAGCTGGAAGGTGTGGGCACTATGAAGATTTTCACATTCTAACATAAGAAGAAAGATAGTTTTTTAAAGTGGACAAAAATATAGCTGTCATTTCATCAGACCTTAGAGGCAGCTCCCCAGCCTTTCTTCCCTAATACGGATGCTGCCCTTTTTGCCAAAAATAATTATCAACCACTGCACCATCACCACCATTTCCTGCACTCACATGAAGTTCTAAGTGTGGTCACATTCATCATGATATTTAACCCTCCCAAGTACCCACTGAGGTAGACAGCACAGATATTTTTATTTCTATATTATGCATAAGGAAATGAAGATCTGGGTTATGGGGCGTTACTGGATCACTAAATTATTTTTTTAAAAAAAGGATTCAATACATTTGAGAAAACAGATGAATCAAAGTACTGCCTCCTGAATACTAAGGTCTTAAAATTTGATGATTTCTGATTAAACCTGCCCAGCTTGCTTATGGCAGAGCTTCTGGTTCAGCACTTTTTGAGCAAAGAAGAGTTAGGTCCTTGAACTATTTCATTTAATCTGCCTGAACACCCAACAGGGCAGGCTGTGTTTCATCAGAGCAAACCACAGGTAAGGAAAGGCCCAGAAAGGGTAAATGACGTGCCCTCAACAGTCAACTCCTGTGTTCCTGCAACTACTGCCCTTCTGATGTCTTTATACCAGGCTCACCCTCACGAAATGGAGGTTACCTACTGAACACTGGATCCCCATACTCATTTGGAGACTACAAGGTCCTCTGGTTTTATCTACTGTCCTTGACCCCTCAGCCAAATCTCCAAGCTTGCTCCATTTCATGATTATTTATTTTCTAAAACCCATGACGAATCTCATGTCCTATCACCTTGTCTTAAGACACAGCAGGCACAGACAAATCCCCTGAAATACCTGTTCTTAAACCTGAATTGCCACCTTGCTCCCCGGCAGTGATGGAGATGGCCCCGCCAGGAGCCAGGTGGCTGGTTTCAATGGAGCCCAGAAACTCTCTTCCCTTCATACAAGGGCTTCTGTTGCTCTTCAGAAAGTTAATCGGCAAGTGAGATAGAAAACAGCCTAGCCTTTATTCTTAGATCCCCACTGTTCCTCCCAGGAACAGCTGTCCAGGTTGAATAGCAGCCAGTGTTGCCTGCGAGAGGACCAGGGAACACGGGTGGAAGGTGGCAGGGAAGGACAATCCCCGTACAAGCGGGCCATGGGTAACCATCCACGTAAACAAGCAGGTCTTCACAAGCCCTGGGCTGGAAGGACTTGGGCTAGGCCCTAAATAAGTCCGACAGCTAACGCAGGAGACTCGATAAGAGAACAGAGTGAGGACCAGGGAGAACTGCAGGCTGATTTGAGCTCAGCAGAAGGAAGAGCCCACCGCAGACAGGGCGAGTAAAAGGTAAACAAGTCCTACAGCTTCTTGCAATGTTTTTGCAAGTTTAATCTTCCATTCATACAATAGTGACTCTGGCTGGTTAAACATAAAGGTTCCAATTTAGCACAGCTGTCCTTTTCGGCATGGGGAGAAGTTCTGGAGTTTATGTGAATGGTGCTCAAGAGTAGGGGTCGGACCAGCCTGACAAATCTACTTTTCTGCCAGTGGTGGTATTGGTATGCTGAGAGTGTGACAGATCTGCTCTGTCAGCACCAGCTCTTATCTGGCCCCTGCTGTAAAGAGGAGAAGACACAGCTTAAAATATAAGGAAAGTACCCGGCCTCAGAGCCCACAGAGGGACTCTATCAAGGCTGTTCTCATTGGTATGCTCGGCAGCAGCTCCCACTCTGGACCTTCTGGCTCCTCAGCACAGCTCCCAGATTACTGTAAAAGGGTCACCCTGCAGACCTCAAGCCACGGTCAGCACTGCCTCCAGGCTTGTTAAGGCCCTTACTACCTTTGTTCTAAATCCCGGTGTCTCCAGGAAACCAAGGCGCCGGGTCACAAAACAGTGCTCTTAGTTCGGTCCCCGAATTGATAACCCAAACTCCAAAAACCTTAAGAAATTGCCTCCCCGCCTTCAGCTCCCATCTGGGCTGCAGAGTAAAGACCGGGCGGCCAAGCGTCCCGATGGCATCTCCACACTCCCTCAACACTTCTCAGGCAACCTTTGTTCTCTTTCACTTAACACTTTTACAGAATTGCTCATTTAGTACAGAGTGTCACTGCTATTCATGTGGCATTTCCTAAGGGGGGCTTAGGAGGTTACTGATGTGGTCTTTGGAGCCTGCGCTGTTCTGAAAATGTCGAGCAGCTCTCTGCACACCAGC